ATATATATATATAATCTATTGTGTCTCGCCCTATTTTCCCCCTACTGATTTGTTATTCCCACTCACTGTGCTGCCTCTGAAATTTTGATTGTAGAATTATTGGAGCACAACTGCGGCCTGATATTTGTATAGCATGGTCTGGAGAGATGCCTAATAAATAGAATTCTGTTCTTGTGGGGTGCATGCCTTCCCTCTGATTTCTGCATTGGGCTTCTCATAATTTACAAACTAAATTGTATGATGAATTAATTTGAAGTAAAAATAAGGATTACAGTTCTGTCTAGAATGGGGATTCTTAGTCATTGGTAAGCCTGAATTATCTTTTTTTTTGGTGTAGACACAATAAAAAGAGTTTTTTAAACACTGAATATGTTAAAGCATTAACACTCAAATATTGATAATTTCTGCTAAGTATATAAGCAAATAGATTTTTTTTTTCTTTTAAAAGTGTTTTTATGAATTATTGAGGGGTTTCTTGGGGTTTGGTTTTTTTTACCTTTTCAAAGTTGTGCTTGACAGATGTGGAAGATCATTTGTTTTTGAGGCTTTCTTGTTACTTTATTACTTTTTAATAAGACTTTGGATTCCTTAATAAAAAAATCTTAGGCTAATAGTCCTGCTCCTGAATTGCTAAGCTCTTGATCCTGCATCCTACCTTTATAAATACTGGTTTAACAATTAATGGACATGCACTTCTTTGTGCTTGCGCTCGTATCAGTTTGATAGTTCTAACCATAAATTAATGGTTATGAAAAGCAGTTATTTCTGAAAATTTTAGCATGTATTCTTTCTCAGTTAAAGTGAACATATGAGAAGTCTTGGATAATTAATAGATAGCAGGTGGTGCTTGCCTTATAGCCTTCATTTGTAATAATTGATTATATGAAGGTATACACTGAGTGATATGTAGTCTTGCTGTGTGACAGCATTTTCTATAATTAGTACTACTAAATATGAAGTGGACATTTCTGTAAAATGTAGACACTGACAAATATAGTATAGCCAAGCAGTGGTGTAACTTATACCTAAGTTTCGTGTTAGTTCTTGGATATCAGTTCAATAGAAAAATAATTTTGCTTCAAAAAAAAAAGTTACTATAAATACTTCAGAAGTGCATAAAATCGCTTAGTTTACATTTACC